AATAGGACAAGGTTCAGATTTATGGTTTATGCTGTGTGACTTGACATCACCTAACAACAGCTACAACAACAGCATTTTTTTTTTTTAAAAAAGAATTCTGGTAATGTAGTTGTAGTGCTATTAACAGAAAAGTCATTGCTTCAAACGCACCTGCTGCTCCATAGGATAAAGTTTCTCTTCCTACAAAGATTTACAAATGAAAAAAACCTGATTGAAGACCAATATGATTCAAACTTAATTGATGCCCAGTGGCAATGGGTGTTCCTTTTTCTAAGCCAGATTATCCCTTGAAATCACTTTAGATTGATTGACTAGGAATTAAATTTGTGGATTGTCTGCATAGAAGAAGTATTTTACTGTTGACCCACAATAGCTACTATAGTTAGTAGTTCAAAAACCAACCAACAAACAACCTTATGAGTTAGGGTCCTCCCTAGCCCAAAATCACTTTCCATCTCCTCCTAGTCACAGCAAGAGAAGAAAACTCAATGTATGTATTGTAGATGCTGGTGAAGGCTGAACATTAAGGGATGTCCAGTTGGACAAAGAGTGGAAGGGTGATTCTGGGAGAGGAAGCAGCATAAGCCTGCCAAGTGAAAGGGGTTTGTTTTGTTATTAGGTCCCAGTGAGTTAAGTACAACTCATAGTGACCCTGTGAACAACAGATCCAAACCCTGTCCTATCGTGTGCCATCCTCATAATCTCTAACAATCTCAGAAATGAGGTAAATTTCCCAAATCTGTAGCACACAGAACATGGCAAGAAATAGTGATGCATAAAGCCAGAGGGGCATTTGGAAAGGTTTCTGAAGAGCCTTGAATACCAGAGTAAATTTTTGTTTTCTTTTGTAAGTCAATGATGAAACAAAATTATATTAGCATGGAAACTTGCACTTCTGCAGCCACATACTCATCCATTTTTGTTCTGTGTTCATATTCTCTTCTAAAAAAGGGTAAATCTCATTAGCTCACTCCTCAGGATGCAAGCTTCAAAGATAACTTAAGTTTGGAATAAAATGCTACCTCCCGACCATATTGCAGTGATAAAATATCCCCTTTCCCCAAATTGCCACATGCCCTTTTCCAGTATTTACTTCTCTCTTGTCTTTCAATGAGCCCAGGTCCCTCCCACCACAAGATTCTGCAAGGGATACTTCCCCTCTTCCTAAGCACCTTTGTTCATGCTGTTAGCTGTAGTTGACTTGACCCCCACCTCATGACAGCCTTCTGCACAATGAGGTAGGACTATGTGCGCCACTGAACTTCATTGGCCAATCTTCAAAGGTAGATCTCCAGGCCTTTCTTGCTAGTCCGTCTCAGTATTAACACTCTCCTGAAACCTGTCCAGATTGTAATAATACGTAACCCTTAACTGGCATACAAATGGTGGCTACCCTTTACATTCCTTGAGTAGGAATTAAATTTGAATTGTCTGCATAGAAGAAGAGCTTGACTGCTGACCTACCAAAGTTACCATAGTTAGTATTTTAAAAACAGACAAACAAACAAAAAAACCCCACCAAAACCCAAACAAACAAACATGAACACTTTTGTCCAGTCAATTCTGACTCACAGTGACCCTATGAGTTAGTACCTACCCTCACCCAAACACCTTGCTTTTAAGTTGATTCTAAGTCATAGCAACTCATCATTGATTTTCTGAACCTATAAATCTTTACAGGAAGAGACTGGTTCATTTTTGTCCCACAGAGTGACTAATGGATTTGAACTAGTGACCTTTCAATACCTAAAGCACTATGTCACCAGGCTTCCTTATGAGTTAATATCCATTGTTGTTAGATGCCCTGGAGTCAAGTACAACTCATAGTGATGCTATGAACAAAAGATCTGAACCTTACTCTATCCTGTGCTATCCTCACGCTTCCTGACACACACTGCAGCAGTCACCATGTGAATGCACCTACATGAGGGTCTTCTTGTCCTTCGCCGACCCTCCATCATTCTCAGCATCGTGTCCTTCTCCTAGAAATAGGCCTAAAATATGTGAGGTGAAGCCTCATCATTCTTGTTTCCAAAGAACACTCAGGCTGCACCCTCTCCAAGACATATCTGTTTGTTCTCCTGACCGTCCATGGATTGTTCAATGCTCTTCTCCAACCCCACAGCTCAAAGATTTCAATTCTTCTGTCATCCTTATTCACTGTCCAGCTTTCAGATACACATAGCAACTGATTGGAAAGACTATGGCCTGAATAGATATACCTTAGTCCTCAAACGGAGATGATTACTCCTCAATAATTTAGAGGGGTCCCTAACTGCAGATTTTCCCAGTACAATGTGACTCCTTATTTCTCCACTGCTAGTACCAAGGGTATTAATTGTGGATCCAAGCAAGGTGACTCTGCCTATCAGTCCAGTGGTGAGAATCATTCTTTTCTTGGCATTGAGATGCAGTCCATACAGAAAGTTGCATTAATTGATTTTCTGCAACAAGTGCTTCAAGTCTTCCTCGTTTTCAGCAAGCAAGTTCATCTGCATAACACAGGTTACTGATGAGTTTCCCTCCAATCCTGATGCCACATTCCTTTTCAGAGTCCAGCTTCTTGGATAATTTGCTCAGCATACATATTGAATAGGTGTGAAGTGAGAATACAATCCTGTTGCATTCCCTTCTCAATTTTAAACCAGGCAGTGTGCCCCTTTTCTGTTCACACAACAGCCTCTGGTCCAGGTATAGGTTCTACATAAGCTCTACCCTCCTTTAAATCTAAGTTCAGACATCCTTCTTCAGGGAAGTCAGAACATCTCATGTTGGGTTTAGTACTGTGATGTTTCTTCCTCAATATACCATGAACTTTGAGAATAGGAGAAGGCCCATTCATTTGTCTTGTTTGCTATAGTGTCTAATCACTAAGGAGACCCCAATAAGTCTGTTGAAAAATTTATCAGTAATTATGACAGAAGACTTTAGGCCTTTGAATTGTGGTGCTGATAAAGAGTATTGAAGAGCCCACAGACTGCCGAAACAAAGAAGTATGTCTTGAAGGAAGTGCAACCAGGGTGCTTCTTGGAGGCAAGGATGGTGAGGCTTTGTCTCATATACTTAGGGCATGTTATCAAGAGAAGCCGGTCCTTGGAAAAGACATCATGCTGGGAAAAGTACCAGGTCAGCAAAAGAGTAGAGTGCCATCGTGGAAATGGACTGAGACAGTGACATCAACAGCGGGCTTGAGCAAGAACGAAGAGGGGGAGGATAGGACAAGGTTTTGATCTGTTGTTTATAGGGTTGCTTTAATTGTTACCAATGCAATGGCAATGATAAGTATAGTAAAAAACCAGATGAGGGGAAAAGCAGATTTGGTTCAAATGAGGATATAGGCCAGAGCCTTTGGCTGAACACATGTAGGATTCTTAACATTTCCCACTGGGCTGGATCCTCTTCCACAGCAGTCACTGGGGCACAACTCTTGGTGGAGAAACTAAAAAAACACATTATCGTAGATTGTGGGATGTTCAAGCAAAAGGGTTCGATTCAGGTTGTGGGTTTAGGTGGTGACAAATGTGTGAAGTCCTTCCCTCTTACTGGTCTACAGAATGGATAAATGATCATAGTAGCTTTATGTGGACAAGAAGCATATTTTAATTATTTAAATTAACATCCAGTCTCTCTTGGGTGGGATAAGACTGTAAAAAGGCATATTGTAGGCTAGGCTAAATTGTATCCCTTTTTTGCAAGACTGGATGTAGAAAGGCATCTTGGCCTTGGCTCTTATCATCAAGAAATTGCTATTTTCTCGGTAGATTTGTGCAGACATGGGCTGTTCCTGTTCCAAGGTCATGTGACACAGCCAAAAGCATGTGACTCTGTAGCTTGTGGTCCGTGTAGTCAGTTGTAATGGAATCATCGCCACCACCAGCTGCTGTCAAAGCTGTCCTCCACTATTGCAAATTTTCACTCAAATCACAAGCAGAGAATCATATTTAAATATGCTTCATGGGGTTTTCAATGATGATGATCTTTCAGAGATTGTCAGATCTTATTTCTAAGGTGTCTCTGAGCGAACACGAAACTCTAACCTTTGAGTTGGCAGCCAAGCACGTTATCCATCTGCACCAGCCAGAGACTCTAACATAGTCAAAGGGCCTCTTTCTCTCCTGAGTACAGCACGTGCAAGTGAAAAATTACCTTCTGATTGAGTAGCATCACTGAAGAAAATCAATAGAAATGGCCCACGGTCCATTGGCACTCTCTCAATTTTAATTATAGTAGGTTTTCAAATTACTGGAACACTGATTCAACAGGATTGAACAGGATTCAGCCTCTGTGTGGCCAGCTGAAAATAAAGAGCAGAGGAGGTTAAAGGAGAAGTGGTCTATCTGGGCAATCCTAAATTAAAAAGAAAGTCTGTGCTGGCCCATAAGAAGCCAGTTTTTAACTTCCAAATAGTCATTCCAAATTCTGTGATACTGTGTTTGACATGTTTAAGAGAGCGATGGAACAGCTGAAGTTGTCTTTGTTCAGAATGTAGGAGACAGTTTTGTCTAGACTTTCAGGGAAGATGGAGAATGACATTTTCGGAACAAATCAAAATATATTTTTAAATTCCTTTTTTACCTTCAGGAAGAAGTTTGACATGCATCTATGATTTGAATCTGGTCTTTCTATAAATGGCCTCAGTAGTTTGATATATTAAAAAGAAAAAGTAGAGTAAAAAATGAGCCATTGAGGAAAGTTTTGAAAATGTTGTTCGTTCATTTTCTTGCCTAAATTTTCTTACCAGTACCACAACAATAAAATAGATAATATTTGTTGAGTTGTTTTCTAGGTATGTGTCAAAGCCTTGATGTATTCTTATTTAATCCACAGAGCTAATTCATGAGGTAGGTGTTACTGTGATTCCAGTTGTTCATGCAGACACTGAGGTACCCAGGCTGGAAGTGACTGACCCAAAAATGGTCAAGCAAGGCCCAGGTCTGACTAAATCTCAAGTAACCCCCAGACTACTCTCCTCACGACCATGCTGTATCTTCTCTCTACAGAGCCAGCATTGTGCAGAAGCGAATCATTTATTTTCAAGACGAGGGCTCTCTGACCAAGAAACTTTGTGAACAAGGTGAGAAAGGGCTGGTGGGGCAGGCTCATTCATTTAGCCCACACATCTGCCACTGGAAAGGAGGCAATTGGCCTTTCCGAGTTGCTCTGGGTTTTGCCTCCTCATGTGGCTGCGATTTTTAATCTGGCTGTGTGCTCTGGATAATTGGATCCGCCTTAAGCTCTAATTACTCAGCTTGATTCCCTGGGTAGAAGATAATGTACCTTATATTGGTGTCATCTTCTTATTTTTGTGAAACAGTGATTATTTTGAAGAGGTGCCTTGGAATAATTCACAGGACTTAATTAAGGAATGTGCAATTGTGTACTCTTTAAAAGCCTGTAATGGGCCTCCAGAATACTCATTGCAGTAGGAATTTGTTTGGCATCTTAGGAGGGGAGATTTTCTCTAGGGAAGACCAAGAGGAGATGAGAATGCCAAAAAGGACATTGACCTGGTGGTTTTGCGCTGTGGAGGTGCTAGGTTTTGCATCTGCAAGCACGTCACCCTACCCTGTCCCCCTCCCACCCCCAAGCCACCACCACCCAGTAGTTCTCAGGCTGAAGATGGTCTGCCAAAGTACACAACGAAACTAGATTTAGGAGCAGAGTCCTGATTTGCATCAAATATGGATCTGAATCCTGCCCTGCTCTTCCTTCCTAGTCATTCCACTTTATGACTGTGTATATGTAAGGCAGGGCCTTTTCTCCAGGCACACAGTAAACAATATACTTACAAGAGCTAGCTCTTGTCATCTGTATCAGAAAGCTCACACAGTTTCTGCCTTAAAAGAATAGACTCAAAGTCTAAATGTATTGAGATGTTATCAGAGAACAAAATGGGGAAACAAATTCTGTTGTTACCCTTCTTAACTATCTCATTGCTGTTCTTTTTTACAGAATTTTTGTTAGCATTTAGAGTAGTAAGTGTTTGATAAGAAATAATTCTCTCTGGCATTAGCAAATCATAAACTACCAAAGAGAAGTTGATAACAACATTTGAGTAAAATAATAAAAATTAAAATTTTTAACTTCTTACTTTAAGTTAGTTATTAGTCTAAACATTTCATGTGCATGAAGCTTATTCTCTGCAGTGAAAATCTCTATTTTACAAATTAGGAAATTGAGACACAAAAGCTTAAATTGCGTGTACAACATCATATAGCATGTGGGAAAGGGCACTGTTAGAACACAGGCCAGCTGTCTCCAGGGCCAGTTCCCTTAGCCACTGCCTTTCTAGCAAAGGACAAACACAGTTCCCACTGAGTAAATCTCAACCCACAGAAACCCCATGTGTGTCAGAGTAGAACTGTACTCACAGGGTCTTCAAGGGCTAATTTTCCAGGTCACCAGACCTCTCTCACACTGGGGTACCTCCGGGTGAACTCAAAGCATCAACCTTTTAATTAGCAGTAGGAAACAGTAATCATCTGAACCAGCAAGAGACTTCTAACAGAGAGACTACCTCCCAATTTAGGAGCTTGCATCACTGGCAGATCGATGTAGTGTCTCCCTTTAGATGAGCTAGAGCAGAAACTAAGTCCTATATGATTGCTGGTGCACATGGGAAGAGAATAAGCAGAGAGAGTTGGATGACTTGCATTAATGGTCCAATCTATCACAAGGACAGAGAAATAGAGTCTGTGTACCAGTGTACTCATCAGCTTCTAGGAGGAAAACACTACACAGGTGCTCTAGTGTGTAAAGTGTCATGCTGCCCAAAGGTAGCCAATTCCAGTCCTCCAGCTGCTCTGAGCAGGAAAGATGGACAGTCTCCTCCCAGGCAATTTGTAGCCTCTGAAAACCTGCTGGCAGGCTAAGTAATGAGCCATTTCCCACTTGAAGGCACGTAACAACAACAAGCTTTCCAGTATTCTATTACTCCTAAGTTTCTCCAAATAAAGAATCTCTCAGCTGGAGCTCTTGATTCTGATAAGACAACCACACTCCTGCTCTGTCCTAGGAGATAGCACCTCAGTCCCACGAGTTGGAGGTTTAGATATTCTGGATCACACATACACAGGGCAGCTCATGGTCTCTGTGCACAGATGCTACCCAGTCTCTGTGGTGTGATTCTGTTCATTTGACTGTCAGAGGACAACCATATTGCTTGGATTTGAGGTTTCTTAGGGAATGCTTGACTGGCACCCCTGGGTACTGACAATGATCATTAACTAAAGTGCACTTTCCAAAGTCTGTCTTAATGTTGTCTGTAGCCTTTGTCTAAATTGTGAGTATACGAAAATCCTGCAGAGACAGTGTCAATAAAAAGCACTTCAAATTAGTTATCCCTTCCAAGACAGCTTCACAAAATGACAGTGACTATAACTGCATCAAAAAAGTTGCTTTCAAGGACAACTTAGTGGCCAAAAAATAAAGTCTCAATAGGAGCTGTGGGATGCAGATGTCTGTCCCTTCAACAGCAGACCCTTGAAGACATCTATCAGCAAAACGGACCACAAAAGAAGTTCTTTAAAATGGGAACAAAGTATGGAGCTCTGGTGGCCTAGTGCCAAGAAGCTGCACTGCAATCCCAGAGGTACTCAGTTCAAATCCACCAGATGTTCCGCTGGAAAAGGAGGGATAATCTCCTCCTGTACTAGTCAGATCCAATTTGATGGTATATCTACACAAAATAATAAAATAAAATAAAAATTTAAAATGGAAACAAAGTGCAAAGGGATTTTTTTTTTAAAAAAGGCATATGTCCACTTAAGTATCTCAAGCTCTGTAATGACTATCTTTACATTGTTTGTTTTCTTACTGAGTCAAATCAAATCTTCAAGGAGGAGAGAGAGAGAAATGTGAGCCTAGTCCTTTTTCTACCAATTGAAGTGGTTAAGCCACAGATAAAACTTTAAGAACTGTGCAATTTGAAAAAAAAAAAAAGAGAGAATCTATTGCTTTTGTTTATTTGAAAAGCATGAAATATTAGTTCACAAATAAGGGCAGAAAAAAACTGTAAATATTTAGAATGTAGTGCATAAAAAAATGGGTGCACACACACATTTTAATAGCATACTGCAAACAATTGGGCAACAGAGAGAAAGAGCAGATGAACGGAAAATTAGAGAAGAAAACAAAACTGAACAGAGAAGAAAAAGAAAAGAAGTAAAATGAACAGAGGGCAAAAGACAAAGACTGGAAATGGGAAAGGAAGTTAAAGGAGCTAGGGTAGAGGGGGAACGGAAGGGAGTTTGGGAGAAACTCCAAGGTGTACAGTCAACTACCTGCATTCACCAGGCGGTGCTGCTGAGCCCTGGCAGTTGGGCTGCTATTGAAAGGCCAGCAGTATGAGCCCACCAGTGACAGCAGGGGAGAAAAATGAGACCATCTCCTCCTGTAAAGATTTATTGCCTTGGAAATGCCATGGAGGGTTACCATGAGTCAAAATTCTCTCAATGGAAGTGGATCTGGGTTTTGGGTTAAGTTATCATTTGTTGTTATTACTGCCCAATGAAAACCTCATTCACTTCCTAGTAGGCTTTTCTTCAGTAGGAAATAGAAACACTGCCATCCAGTTAGTTCTAAGACTGAAAATCTTAACAAGAAGAGGTGCTAGTGGAGCCAAACCACCTGAGACACACATTCTGTTGACTAGCAGTACCACATCCTACAGACAACTCCTACAGGCCACAGCAGCTCCTCCAGGAGGAAACAGTATGTCTGTTTTTATTTTCAAACTTGGACATTGGTTCTTTTAATTGGCAAGGGTTTTTATTTTCCTTTAGAATTTGAAAAAGTTTACTGTAAGCACATACCCTTGAGCCTTGGCAATATCTTGATACTCACTACTTATAACTGAAGGCCTTTTGATGAGGTCCGGCTACCAATTTTGTCTAATTTTGGTTCTTCAAAAGATTATTGCTGCCTCATTTCGCAGCACCTGATACTTACAATGGAAAGCGCAGCATGTATCTCTTAAGTCTGAAACCCCTTTTCAAAACAAATTTAGTTTATTGTTGTTGTTGATTTTGTTTTATAATATACTTGATCATAATGAGAATGGCAAAAAAAAAAGAAAGAAAGAAATTAAATCTTTGAAAGCTAAGTATTTGTTTTCCATTTTCTAAATTATATATTGAACAAGCTTGTCTCCTAAGCTGTCAGAGTGGTTCACACAGGAAGGAGAACTAAGCTTCTTGCTCATAAAGCAGTGGGAGGACCCGAAGTAGAGACAAATGATCTGGTCTCTCCAAAGTGTACCAAAAATGTTGCTAACCAATCATTTCTACTTTGGGCAATTTCAAACTTCTTCAGTGGGGCTCCTTTGACATCCCAGAGCTAGTATAGGAAGGTGGCTTAGTTATCTAGTGTTGCTATTAGGAGAGATACCACAGTGGCTGGCTTTAATAAACAGAAATTTATTCTCTTGTCGTTTAGGAAGCTTGTGGTTGGTGGTGGTGGTGGTGCCATCAGGTAGGAACTGACCCATAGCTGACCCTCTGGTGAGTTTTCAGAGCCAGTTAACCACATGGGAAGAGACTGTCTGTCCATCCTTCTCCCATAAAATTAGGAAGCTAGCATTCCAGATCCAGGGTTGCAGCAGTAGGGAAAAGCCTTTTCTGTCAGTGGTGGACAAAGGCCCTTGTTTCCTTCTGCATCTGGGAGTCAGCCCTTCCATGAAGATGTCCACTTGTCCTGGACTTCCCAGCGTGAAGGAGCTTCCTGGCACAGCAGCGTGGGGCCAAAATGATGCTCTTATTTTGATGATTATTTCTTGATAGTACTAAGATTCCTTTCACAGCTCACTAGCCTCCTCTTTTATGGGCCACATCCTAGGAAAACGCCCTTTGAGTGACAGGCACGTTACATTCTACCCTTAATCCTGCCACTATTTGTTTTATCGGATTATAGGGCATCACCACATAGCATTCACATTATAGTGTCACATCTATGTGTTTTGAAGGGACACAATTCAATCATGACAAGAAGCAATTCTTGAAATGCACCTCTCGTTACTTGATAAAGCAAACACAACAACAACAGAGTTTTCCTTTAGTGTTTATGTGAAGCTCTCTTTGTTTGTGAATCTAACTATGTCCTCTGTTTGGAGACATGCATGGTACAGTACAGAGCTTGAGAACCTGAGTTCTGAATTTATGTACTTGAACTTTAGTTATGCCTACACTCATTAACACAGTGACCTTGGACAAGTTACCTAATCTGCCTCAGTTTATTGACCTATGGAGTGGGGATAATCAAAGTGCCTACCTCCTAGGTTTGTTATGGTTAAGTGAGGCAATACATGGAAAGAGATAAACCCTAAAACCAAATCCACTGCCATCATATTGATTCTGACTCATAGTGACCTCCACTGTGTTTCCAAGGCTGTAAGTCTTTTTGAGAGAGAGATTACCCATCTTTCTCCCTCAGTGTGGAGGGTAGCTTTGACCTTTTGGTCTTTTGGTTATCAGTCTGACACATTATATTCAATACCTACTATATGGAGGGATTGCACCATATGGAAAGGAAGACTCAATGCATATTACAGTGGCCTATGCTTTTTCCATCATCCTGTTGTTATTATATGTGGTCAAGTGGGGACTGACTCATCCTGTTGTTATATGTCGTCATTTGTGAACTGACTCATAGCTGACCTTCCAGTGTGTTTTCAGAGCCTATAAATCCCATAGTTGGCCCTCCAGTGGGTTTCAGAAGTTGTAAATCACATTGGAGGAATTGCCCATTTTTCTCTCAAAGAGTGGCTGGTTGATTCAAACTGCCTACGTTTGGGTTATCAGCGCAATTCCTTGCCACTAAGCCACCGGAGCTCCCTGTCACCTTCCTAGAACCCAGAGTTGACTTTTTCCAGTTATCCCCGGGTTTGCATATTCAAAACCAGATGAACCTAGTGCATCCGGAAGGGAAGACCTGTGAAGTGTTCTCCCTGAGACTCAAAAGGATTTTTGTGTTCTTTCTTCGTCACTGCTTTTTTTGTGTACTATTTTATAATAAATGTACAAGTTGCAAAGGGGGGGAAAAAAGGTATTTATGTTAATACTACTAGAAGACCAGAAGAAAAAGCAATTGGAGCAAGTTGCATCTGTAGTCACTGTTTTCATCCTGCAGGAAGCAGAGCGACAAAGAGCAACAATGTGCACAGTTAGGGATGTGGGCTTGACAATCGGAAATACTGAATTTATTCATGTAATCTCTCTTTCCCTACTTATCAGCTATTCACAGCTAAAAGTGGGGGCGGAGAGGGAATCTTCTACAGTTTTTCCTTGCTGCTTCTATGCCCAGAAGTAAACCTGAACTTAGGAACCTATTTCCAGACATCATCACTCCCAGTGAAGTCTCTGAAAGCATGATAAGCAGGGACGTGACTACATATGCATACTTTCCACCTCCCTTTAATTTGCAGCATTTATATCTCTCTGCTTGTTCTCCTTAAACGTTGCTACTTTGGGGACTGGCAGTTTGGCCCCAGAGAATATTTCTTAGAGGAAACATGCACATACATATTCCTCTTAAAATTTGATGAGGTGGGTAAGGAAGCCAAATAGGCCCAGAATGTTTAAATGAGTCCAGTTTTACTTCTGATGCCCCAAGGTAGTCTTCTCAAATATTCTGTCCTTCCTATTGGTCCCCTAAAGTCTCCTCCAGTTGTTGGAATAAAACTTATGCTTGGTGGTTGGTTGGTTATTGTTTTCAAGTTTCCAAAGCATAATTAACATGTTTTGTTGTTGTTGTTGTTGTTGTTATGTGCCGTCGAGTCGCTTGAATACTGGAAAAAAAAAAAAAACCTCTCAGAGCTCAGGTACTAATCAGGCTCTAGGTCTTAGTACCTGTGGAAACTGCCCTTACCCTCTTTTCTCAAAAGTTCCACACGAGAACATGGTGCTGCCTTATAAACAGCCCACATTTGCCTCCTAAAGCAGTGACTCTTCTGTGTTTCAGATCCTACCTTAGACGGGGTGACTGACAAGCCAATCTTAGACTGTTGTGCTTGCGGAACTGCTAAGTACAGGCTCACATTTTATGGGAACTGGTCTGAGAAGATGCACCCAAAGGATTACCCTCGTAAGTAAAGCCGTTGTTTCATGGGCTGGGGGGGAAACACGGTGCCCAGCGCTGTCTGTGTGTGGGATGCTCGGGCTGAAGTACATCAGGTCAGCTTGCCCTTATCGACTGACTCATGGCACGTGTACATGCCAAGTCAGTGAATTCACTGAGACAGGCAGCCGTCCTCGCCGAATGCTGTTAGCTTCCTCACATAGCATTGTTCTAAGGGTGTTCGTATCTGTGATTTTAAAAGTGTTTCTGAATTCAGGCTGCTTATCTTCTTGTCAGGCATTTGGTAACCTTAGCCCTCCTAAAACTGCCCTATCCATGAATTACACAACAGGCCTCTTTGTGCTGGAAATAGCTGGCAAAGGGATCTGCTTTTGACTCCATAGGCCAAGGTCAGCACATACTCCACGTCCTCACCCATGGCAGATGCTGCTAGTCACTCAGCACACCCTTTCCGTGCTCAATCTAGAGTCCTTCGTAACACCATGCTCCAGATAGGCGATATCAGTCCATGGGCACTGTTGTGGGACCCCACAAACATGCTGTTTTGGAATAGATAACATAATCAGGACCTTACATGCTTCTTTCCATTGTCTCAGCAAAAAACCTAGACTTGTCATCAAGTTCCATGAGAACTCATAGCAACCCCTCGTGTATAAGAGTAGAACTTTATCCCTTAGGATTTTCAATGAATGATATTTGGAAAGTGGATCACCAGACCCTTCTTCTAGGGAACCCCAGGGTGAACTCAAAGCTTCATTCACTTAGCACCAAGTTTGTCAACCATTTTCAACAGGAGTTACACTGTTGCTGTCATTGTTGTTGGGTTCCATCAAGTCAATTCCCACTCAAGCGACCCTTGAGACAGATAACAGAATGAAACATTGCCTGATTCTATGCCGTCTTCACAGTCCATCTCGTTTCCAAGCATGATGTTCTTTTCAAGGGACTACTGCTCACCTTCCAACCCCATAACAAGTCCAAAGATGTAAAATGAAGCCATGCCCTTCTTAGAAAATTGATGGTGAACGAGACAGGACAGGCTAGCTAGATCCTTATGTAACTCAGGCTAGCAGAGAGACAGACCACTCAAATAATGACACAGAAAAATGTGGAAATGATAGCTGACTGGTAGACTTATTGTGTGGCAAGCGTTTTTAAATAATCTGCATGATTCATTTAATCTTTGAAATGCTCTGGGTTTTGGTGGACCAGGTTATTGGTAATCAGAGAAATGTCATGATGTAATCAAATTCAGGCAGTGGGCCTGAGACTGGAATCCGGATTTGCCCGGCTCCTTGCCTGGCCTTGGTCTGTGTGTATATACCAGTCTTTCTAACTGGGTGGCAGGATGTCTGTGCATGACCCTGAGCGTGGTTTTCAGTTCATTTTATGTTTGTTCTCATTCATTTCGCTTCAGAGTTGTCTCAGCTGAGAGGAAAGAATGGGGCTGGGGGTAAAGATTAAAAAGAGGGATGTGGGTTAAGCCCCAAAGGGAAAGGAGAAGAAAGACTTGCAGTCGGAGCCTGGGAAGACCCAGGCCAAAGCAGACTTCTGTGCTTCCAAATAGCCCACCCAAAAGTGACTACAGCATTTCTTGGCAGATCAAGGGCCCTATTGTTTAATTTTACCCACAAGTAATCAAGGCTTGGGATCTTGGAAACCTCTTACTGGTTCAGTCTTCCTGCTTCAGGATGGGCCTGATGGGCTTCAGCTGGTGAGGGAACCGGACTGCGTAAATGTGGACTCTGTCTGGGTAGCGGGAGGGAAATCCCACTTAGAACAAACACAATGGGAAAACTCTCAGGGCCTCTCCTTGCTCATCCAGAGGAAATCACATTAAGGGCCCATTACTCGTCTTTTGCAATCCTAAAGCATTTTTTTTGTTCTTTTCTATTCTGCTACTGTCATTTCCCAGAATATTTTTTTAAGAGGTGTACAACCATTGTTCTAGGCCTTTGGGCCAAGTCAAACACAAATCTAAGAGAATTTCTGTAGAGTTGCTGGGAGTTTCTTAATAAATAGAGCAGACATCTGTTCCACATTCCCCAGGATCTTTCCATTGTCAGATATTACATTACTGCATCAGATTATGTCCTAACTGTTGGTTGGAAAAAATTGATCACTAGGTACAGAATAACATTTCTCATGTTATTGTTTGGTGCCGCCAAGTCGGCTCTAACTCATAACTGCTTCGTGTACAACAGCACAAAATTCTCCCCAGTCCTATGCCATCCTCACAATCTCTGCTGGAGTCACTATGTCAATGTATTTCTGTATCATCATATAATTCTTCCTCTCAGAGTCTTTCTGAGAAGACCCTCCAAGACAAAAACCATGGCATGTTCTTTGATCCTTGGTGCCTTCCTCAACACTGTATATTAATTATTCGATTCGGAGTGGCACTTACTGTGGCCCAGGAAGCAGATCTAGTCGTGATGGCCAGCACTGAGTGGAAAGTATGGGCCAGACCCTTTGCTGCAAGGAAAATAATGGACTTGATCATTCAGGGCCTTTTTGAAAAGCCTAGGGAGGATCCATTCAGAATCTTGAAAGTCTAATACTCTCAAGATGAACTTTTAAGTAACAATAAATTTCTATTTACTTCTCCAGGGACTATTTCTGTCTTGAATAACATTTCTTGAATAACATTTCTTGTCATTAAATCCAGGGATGTTTCCCAATGACAGTGCAAATTGACAAATGTTGATTCCCTCTCTCTTTTGTTAATTAGCCATCCCCAAACACCATTTTCTTCCCAGGCATCTTAGAGCAACAGCTGGCAAAAATTTTTTACTTGTGGACTATTTTTTGTACTTTGAATTTATTAAAACTAAAAACCCTCTTAATAATATGTGTTCTATCAGTATTTTACAAAAGGCTGAGAAATTGTTTCAATGTTGTTTCCTAATTAATTTTATTAACTAAAACTCACTATCGAGTCACTTCTGCCCCAGTGGCCCTCCATCGTTTTCTGAGACTGTAAGTAATACTAGAAGGGGACTGCCCATCTTTCTCCCCAAGAGCAGAGGAGAATCAGAACCAGCAGGGAGGTGAAGCCTTTTATGTTTAGCAGTGCAACATTGAAATGTTCACGATACAAAATCAGAAATCATGCATTAGCCTTCTATCTCATCTGAAACAAATCTTTGAGTATTGGAAAACTAAAAAAAGTGTAAGCCAAGCACAAGAAAAGCATTCCTGATAAAGAAGGGAAAAGGGTACTGGAACACTGTCAAGTTCACAGAAACAGATACAAATTTTGCAAAATTCAAATTTTTGCTTGAAAGCTCAAATGGTATCTTTGGCAACAAACACTGTCACTTTTTTCCTGAAGTGGATTCACTAAATGTATGCCAAATTTCCAAGTCTAAAGAACCCTAATTTGTCTGTCATTTAGTCTCTAAAGTAAAAAAGCATGATGTTTTGTGACAATGCAGAAGTGGCTGGTCCAGCTCATACTTCCAAGTGCAACAGGGATTCTCTTCAAGACAGTCACTGCACTTCCATATCTAACAGGAACGCTTTTCTGTGTATTTCCCAATTAATCACAAAAATCATAAAAAGGTATGTACGCAAATGTAGCAATTTAATACAACTAATAATTTTTGTTTTTCCATCAAGGGCATTGCTAATAGAAACAGATATTTATGTTGGTTGCCAAAATATAAAACGTGTGGTGAATCCATTGTTGTGAAAATGGTTCTACCCCCACAATCCCTTATTAGGATGTCAAGAGTCTGTAGATCTGCCCTCAGATCAGATGGTAAGCTACACTACCTACCCTTCAGTTCATCTGCAGTAACCTGATCTTGAGAATTCTCATTGAGCTCTACACAGAAGGTGAGGCTACACCCAGGCACCTGCAGAATCTATTCCAGAGGCCATGTGCACAAATGTTTCACGTCAACTATTGTACAAAATGGATTACTCCAAATTACCTTTCTAGCGTTCTTTCCTGTATTTACTGCTGAGTGCTGTCATAAAACTACTGCAAGTGAGTGGCTTTAAAGAACAGCAAGTTATTGTCTCCAAGTTTGGGAGGCTAACGTTAACACCTGGGCATCGGTTCTAGGGAAGGGTGCTTCCTCCCGGTAGCCCCAGAAGCTAATTTCTTGGAGTTTTTTGGCATCTTCGCTGCCTCACATGTGTCTCTATGCCTTTTCTACCATTCTTGCCTGCTGTTTTAGGAGCCACGTTGCTCTGGTATGACTTCATTAACATAACAAAAGAGAAGTCCTATTTCCAAACAGGATCATATTTACAGGTTCCACACATGTTCAGCATGAAGACACAATGAAAATGCATAGCACCACTATTAAAGTACAGACACTCCTTGAATACATGACCTTCCTCTCCCTAGAATGGAAGATGTATGGTAAGGGAAGCTTAAGTGACCTCTTCTATTCTCTATTTGCTGTTGTTGTTATGTGCCATCAGGTCAACTATGACTCCTAGTGACCCATTGTTGTTGTTGTTATGTGTTGTCGAGTCACTTGAGACTCATAGCGACCCTATGTACAACAGCCCTAAACTCTGCTCTGGCCTGTGCCAATCTCATTGTCTCTGACACACTCATCCCGATTGCCCCAGTCACCGAATCAGTCCACCTCATAGAGGGTCTTCCACTCCTGTGTCTGCCCTCCATCCTCCCAAGCATGATGTCCTTCTCCAAGGACCAGTCCCTCCTTACAACATGACCAAAATATGTCAGATGAAGTTTCAGAATCCTTGCCTCCAAGGAGCAGCAGCCTGATTTAACCTTCTCCAGGATGAATCTGTTTGTTTTCTTAGCAGTCCATGGTACCCTCAGCACTCTTCTCCAACACCAAAGTTCAAAAGCATCAATTCTCCTTCTATCCTCCCTGGTCATTGTCCAGCTCTCTGATGCGGTACAAGTGATTGCAAAGATCATGTCCTGTACCAGACACACATTAGTCTCCAGAGACACACCGTTGCTCTTCAGTACTTTAGAGAGGTCCCTAACAGCAGACTTTCCCATTGCGATA